TCCCGCACCAGCTCGACTTGCGGCTCCATCCACCTGAACTTGCCAACATTCTTCCACGCCGCTTCCCATATCAACTACTCCTTCGGCCACGAAATCAGCCAACACTTGAGCCTTTATGGCTGGTCAGGGCGCATAGCTCACGTCGAACTCGCTCAGCTGAACAGCCCACTTAACCAGGCGCCCGGACACATCCATGGACCCCAAGACCGTTCGGAAAGGTAAATTTGTGAGCACGACAATGCTATGAGCCTGGAAGTAGGGCCTGAGTTTCTTTGCCGCCATTACCACCGCCAGCGCCGCCTTCTCAATAGGTGCATACCTCGTTTCGTGCACCACCATGGTACGACTTACATAGTACACCGGTCGCTCCTCATTTGTTGACGGATCTTTAGACACCAACACCGCACTCACTACAATCCGAGAGACCGCAATGTACAAATATAGAGTCTCTTTAGGCCTGGGCGCCGTCATCACCGTAGGCGCGATCAGCAACTTTTTTAGATCCCCGAAGGCCTCATCGCACTCCTCCGTCCACTTAAATTTACTGGCCTTCTTCAATGTCCAGAAGAAAGGGGCGCCTCTATCCGAGGACCTCGGAATGAAGCGCCCAAGCGCTGCCAATCTTCCCGTCAATCCCTGCACCTCTTTCGGTGTTCGGGGAGGCGTCAACCTCATAATTTCTTCGACTTGCTTGGGGTTGGCTTCAATTCCTCTCTTCGTGATCATGAATCCCAAGAACTTGCCGGCCTCCGCAAGGAACACACATTTCTGTGGGTTTAGTCGCAGGTTGTATGAGCGCATAGTCTCAAACGTTTCTCGCAAGTCCAAAATGTGTTCTTGGCGCCTCTTACTTTTCACGATCAAATCGTCGACGTATGCCTCCACGTTCCTTCCCAACTGCTTCTGAAAGATTTGATTCACCATGCGCTGATACGTGGCGCCTGCATTCTTCAATCCAAATGCCATCACTCTATAGCAGAAGTTACCAAAGGGTGTCATGAAGGCGGTCTTTGCTCTATCCTCCTCCACCATGGGAATTTGATGATACCCCAAAAACATATCAAGGAAGCTGAGCGCCTCATGGTAGGCCGTGGCGTCCACAAGTATGTCAATGCACGGCATTGGGTAGGCGTCTGTTGGGCACGCCCGGTTAAGGTTTGTGAAATCCACACACATCCTCCAATCCCCCGACGGCTTTGGGACGAACACCACGTTCGATAGCCAAGTGATGTATCTGGCCTCTTCAACGAACCCAGCCTCAAGCAATTTATCGACTTCCTTCCTTAGGGCTTCTTCCTTCTCTTGAGTCAAATTCCTTCGCTTTTGCTGAACAGGCCTCTTTCCTTCCTCGACGGCCAATCGATGCGCCGCCACATCTGGTGACACTCCCGGTATGTCCTGGGGGCTCCAAGCGAATAGCTCCCCGAATTCTCGCAACAATTTGATCAAGGGCGCCCTCATGTGCTCAGGAGCCTGTGCTGACACTCGTACCTGTCTGTCCGGGCGCCCTTCTTCGATTGGTACCCTGAACTCATCATCCATAGACTCTGCTTTAGGCGCCTCCTCCGGCCGAATGTCTATGTTGTTCACTCTGTGCCTCCGTGCTCCCTTCTTTCTCCCTTCCTCTTCTCGCGCATAGCGGGGGGCGCCCTCTCCCCGTGAAATTCCTATGCCTTGTGGGGCAACGAACTTCAATGTTTGGTGGCAAGTTGAGGCTACTCCATTGAATAATGCCAAAAGGGGTCTTCCCAGTATGACATTGTATGGCGAGGGGCAGTCCACTATCCCAAACTCCACGGCATGCGTCACTCGATGCATTTCGTTGCCCAACGTCACCAGGAGGCGCACGCGCCCGATCACATGGGCAGGCGCCCCCGAAAATCCTATATGCACCGAATCAGAGGGGCTTACCAACTCCGGCGCCAACTGCATGTGCTCGAACGTGCTTTTGAACAGAACATCCATCGAACTACCCGTGTCTACCAACATCCTCTTGACCTTACACCCCGCGATGACTCCCTGTATCTCCAAAGCTTCCTCTGAGGGCACTTGACACGCTTCATCCGCCTCCTGATTAAAGCATATTTGCACAGCCGCCTTCGCCTCCACAAATGCAGCCCGGAGGCGTCTAGATCTATCCAACTTGTCCCGCAAATCGATGGTTCCGGTTATGGATTCCACCGTGAGTCGAACCCGGTTGGGTTCCCCTTCCTGATTCAGCTCAAACGGATGCGGGGGTATTTTAAGTGGTGGAGGGAGGGTCTCAAGCGCAGGGAGATTACCAGGCGCCTGTTGCATGGCGGGAAGAGCGGGCGCTTTTGGTTCAGCTACCACAGCAGGCGCCGGCCTCGTCTCCCTTGCGACATACGCGCGGTGAGTCCTCTCTTCCGTCTTTCTTATGAAGTCGTTGAGCATTCCTCGGTCGGCTAATGTCTGCAATTCCGACTTCAGTTGGTAGCAATCGACCGTATGATGCCCCTTATCCCGATGGAAGTCACAATATCGATCGAGGTTCCGTTCGTTTGGTTGCCCACGCATGGGTCCCGGCCAACGCACATGGTATCCCCTGTCCTTCACGTATTGCAGAATGTTCTTCAGAGAATCGTTATATTCCGTGAAACTTCCCGCACTCCTGGGTGGCGGGCGCTGACTCTCCATCCTCCTTTGCGGAGTGTTGTTTACCAGGAACGGTCTCGGCGCCTGGCGCATCTCAACTTCTTCTCTACCAACGCGCCTCTTCTCTGCCCTTCTCGCGGCCAACGTTTCCTCCAAGGCAATTACCTTCTGTACCCTTCGATCCAGATCTTCAGTCGACACTACAGCCCTTTTGGACAGCACCCGACACAACTCCTCACTATTCGTACACTCCTCTAGACACACTCCCAGGACCGGTGGTTGCACATCCTTCACGGCCATAGCGACCGAAATCCAACGGTCATAGAACTCTCTAAGCGCCTCCCCCTCTCTCTGCTTGATTTTGAACAAAGCCCCTATAGTCAACGTCCGCCGCTTGCGGCTAGCAAACTTGTTCAAAGCACTCAATGCGCCCCTCTTCCAACTGATGATACCAATCCAAGACTACCCGCGAATGTCTAAGGAAACACCTTACACAACGTGGCATCCGTGCTATTATACAATTGCATCTTCGTGAAATAGCTATTTAGGTGATCTTCTGGGTCAGTGACTCCATCATAGCTGGTCAGCGATGGGAGGGTAGTTCCCGCTGGTTCCATTAACACACTTTGCGCTAAGGGTTGTCTGATCCCAAAGCGCCTGGCCTGACGTTTGGGCGTCCAAGGGTTTTGCTCTTCCAGCGCCGGGATGGTCCACTCTCCCGGCGCCCTCCACACACCAAGGCGCCTAGGTGGCGTTACCTCAGGATTGTGACCCTCATAGCTCGGGCGCCCATACTCGCTAACCTCCGAATCATCCATGAGCCTATCCCGCTTCCTCACCGGGGGGCTGTATTCCCTTGCATCAACGCTCCTTCCGCCCTCCAATTCTCTCCGAAGCATTGCTATAGCTCGATCTTGGTCAGCAATAATCTTGAACAGCTCCCTCTTCGACAACGAATCACTTTCCATAGATGGGCGCTCACGGCTTTCGTCTTCTACGTCCATGCTCACTACCGGGCTTGACCGCCGCTCACTCCCCTCATGACTGGAATTCTCCGTTCCCACATCATCGGCGCCTACACCTCCATCATTCAAGTCTTCCATCTTTCTTACTTTGTTGAACGCCCCCCTTCCTGGCGCGCCAATTGTTGATGCCACGACGATCAATGTTCAAGAAGACGCTGGGCGCCACCTAGGTGAGGAGGCACCGCCCAGCGCCCAGGCCGATTAGTCGTTGCCTAGGCGAGATTAAACGTCGAAAAAAAAATGATAAATATGTAAGTTTAGAGGTCCGATTCTCTAGTACCTTGTCAACGAAGCGGCAGAACTCCGATTCTCTCCTCTCTACAACTGCTTCTAAAACTCTGATTTCTTCTGAACTCCCAGTACCTCCTCTTCGTTCAGGGACTCGTAAACCAAGCGGCTGTCGAGGTCAAGAATGGAAACCCTAGTCCAGAGATCTTCCATCGTTGGCTGAGAACCGAGGTCGAGAATGGAAACCCTAGTCCAGAGATCTTCCACCGTCGGCTGAGAACTGCGGCGATGTTGGAGGACGAGGGCAAGGACGAGTCACGATTGGCGATGCTGGAGACCGACGGCGAGGACGAGGTGCGATTGGTGATGCTGGAGACCGACGGTGAAACTACCGACGACTGGCGATTCTGGAGACTGGCGGCGAGGATGTGGCGCAGCTGGCGACGAATCCCCGCGATGCTGGAGAAGGCGGCTGGAGAGGAGGGATGAAGGCGGTCGACTGCTGCAAACTTGCGATGCTCGACTGCTATTAGGGTTTCCCCCTTTCACAGCAACATCATAACCAAATTTTTTCTTTTTTCTGGGCGTCGCCCACCGCTTGGAATCGCGGATCCAAGCTTGGAATCGCCGCCTAGGCGTTCTTCAACGCGATTCCGCGTTTATGGCGCCCAGCAACTTCGCCCAGCATTCCTCTCCAAGAATCCTCCTCGCCTAGCTACTAAACGCGCCTAGGCGAGTGTTCTTGAACACTGGCCACGATACTTCCCACCCACGAGACTCCTCCGATTGCTCCACGCCTAGCGCTTGGACCCTGCAGGACGGGCGCCTAGAGGGCTAGACCCGCCCGTTAGCACTCCGACGATCAAGTCAGAAGCAACTCTAGAGAGAGAAGTGAAGAAAGAAGTTTTAGTGTGAGAAAACCGACCTCCTTAAATGCTACCTACCAAGTGCTATTTATACTACTCGGGCTCCTCGACCAAGCTCTGACCAACTCCTGCCACCAAGCCTTACGTCAGCCTAGCATTAAATGCCTGGTCTGCCCTGGCGCCTACGTGTCTACACGTGGCACACTGTCCGTTTTCCACGTCGGGGCGCATAGGAGGACCACTGGCCTCGTGGCGTCCTTCCGACCTTGCCCATCCGTACTTCCTTGTCTGCGAGCCTATTTTGTCGCCATGCGCCCCCTTTTCCTTCATAGCTACCTAGGTTATGCCCTCATGGGCCATAAATGGGCTTGATGTCCAATAGGCACCTGCCTTTCATGGGCTTGCTTCTATTACCCTAATCATGGGTTATGCCCCAGATAGGTCATAAGTGGGCCTCCGGCCCAGCGGGCTCTTTACTTTCGTAGGCTTATCTTTATTACCCCAACAAAACCCACTAAACGGAAGATCATGTTTCTTTGTATTGAATCAAAAGCAATATGAGAGTGGCCATGGAAAATAAGAAGCATAAGTTGTTGGGTTGTCATGCAGTGATTGGTGGATCGTGTCTAATCGTTTCCTCTTTACTTCTCCTTCTTTATTATGGTAATTCTTGGTTTGCCCTAAACGGATGAAACAGAGTTGCTTTTCTAGATTATGCTAAGCAAAAAAAAAAAAAAAAAACCTTTTGGCTTTTCTTGTCGTAATAAAAAATCAATAGATAGTGTGCCTTTTGAAATCACGTAGTATACGATATTGAATACGTTAATGGGATCTAGTCTTCGAGGACATTATAATGCTTATTGGAATTATTGCATAATCAAAATTGATATCTTGTCGTCCTTCCAAAAAAGCTCCACATGTAGGAGAATATTACATTCCACCGAGAATAAACGAGATATTACTAGCATTAAATTAGTGGTTGATTTGAAATATTTTATCTAATGAGATTATGTGACTTGGTTATTGAGTAGGTTGACTTAGGAAGAAATCGAAGCGAATTGTTGGGTGACAAAGGAGGAACTCAAGGAGGAAAAAGGTGAGAGGGTTAAGAAGAGAGATGGATAGAGAAAAATAATCTTGATATTGCTGAACTCTGTAACCAAATTCATGAGATATATAAAAAAATCCACTAATCTCCTCCCACTCCCTTGATTATTACAATTATCCCTTTATTATTTATGAAAAAAAGAACAAAGTGAGAATTCTTCATGCAAAGATTCGATTAAATTATGTCAAGCAAAGCTTAATTATTATAGTTATGAAACCAAAGGCGAAGTCATGTCTTAGCATCCTGTTTTAGCGACACTAATGGGCCACGTTATATATTGTATGGTCCATGAAGAGAATATTAGGAAATCTTTAGTGCAAGTCCATCTTCTCAAATAAAAACATCTAGATGAATTTTCGCACTGTTGCGACTGTTTGACTCGTTTATTTTAGTATTCGATTTTGCATGTCATTTGATTTGGTTATATGGAGTTAAGATGTGAAAATTGTGTTTTCAGTGGTAAATTAGCTTGGAAAATGAAAGAAAAATTCGCTTATCGAGAATGATATATAATAAACGCGAAGCTTACATATGTCATAATTTGTGCAAAAATGAAATTCACATAACTCTATTTGCATGTTTTAGTGATGGAGAGTTGTACATTATATCGTTGAAACATTTGAACTCCATATATACCAAACACCTTGTAACGTATCATTTGTACTCTATAATTAACACGATATAAATAATTAAGCGCTTATCTATTTGGATCACACCTATCTCGATCCAAATCCAATATTTATTTTGCCCTCTTCTATCTTAACGTAGTTATTTTTCAAATCTTTCAGTTACCTCTAATTTAGCTAGAGATATATTATTTCCAATTAAACAATAATCTTTGTATTTTATTTAAATTTGAAAAATTATATTCAGTTTATAGCACATCACATGATGTTGTGTAGTATATCAAAATATAAAACGAATGATGTAAAAGTGTTAAAGCAATTACAACAAAGTCTTGTAGCTATAATAAAATTGGTAGTAGTGATGGCAATTTGAACCCGTCTCGTCGGGTATTACTCGATCCGATCCATGTTGGGGTACCCAGTAGTATGGGGTTTGACATGTGTACTACTTTCCTTTTGTGTCGCCTTGTTCCGCCTGTTCTTGACTCGTTTTACCTTGATTTATCACAATATTTGATTATACTTATCCTATTTTTACTCATCATAGATCATATTTTCATACAATGATACTTCAAATCAAGGTTGTCAAGTTGGTTTAGCATGTTGACCCGATCTAGCTAGTGGATCAAGGATTAATGGTCCATATGTTTATGCCAGCTTAGCACGATTTAACCTCAATATATGAAAAAAAAATTGTATGCATATATAAATTATATTTAATCTCGTATAACATATAGATAATATTATAATACCATATAGGACTTTGCTACGGTGACATGCATGTCATCGTAACATGGACTTTTCGGTCGACCTAATATAGGATGAGGTCGACCGAACATGCTGTTTCAGTGTTGTGAGGTTCAACGACGCGGTTGACCGTCTATAGCAAATGGTCGACCTCTTTGGGAAGCGAACAGAATGAAAGGTCGAACCAAATATCTCATAGGCCGACCATTTTGCACTTAATAGGTCGACCGCATAAGTACGGGGTCGACCTCGTGGACACCGTATCCGAATTGGATAAGGATTCCAACACCGGAAAGGTAACCCTAACTTATCTACCACTTAATTCGACCTGCTCACGTCCTAAATATCTATAAATACGAATATATTTCACCTTCTCTGCCACCAAAACTCTGAATTATGTTTTTTTACGGTTAGAGCCTTTGTGAAGAAGATCGTTCGCGGTTGCTGTTCTACATGTTGAAAGTGGTCGACCACGTCGAAGGTGAGGTCGACCTAATGTAGCATTCGCCGCCATCTTGTCTAATGCGTAATTTCCACCGTCTAATTTGATTTATTGTTGCGTGCAGAATACCATTCGGACGCCCCTTATCTCAATCAGGTCGACCTCTGCTTGACAATTGTTCGCAATTGAATTTAGGACACAACACTCGGACTTCTGTACTTGCGAGGTAAGGAAGATCAACCGAATAGGTCGACCTAATGTTATTCAAGGTCGACTGTTCCTGTTTGTTGTGGTTGTTCATCCTGAATGTCGACCTTGGCTTTGTTTGTAAGACTATGTTGTGTTTAAAAGGTCGGCCGCTCAAGTTGTCTGGTCGACCTATCTGTTGTTCGTGGTAATATTGCACTTGCTTTTGTTGGTAAATTGGTATTTTCCTGCTGGATAGGTCAACCTAGGAAGAGCAAAGGTCGACCTTAAAGGTTCTAGTAGTGACAAATTGTCTTTAAGGTCGACCTAATAATATGTCAGGTCGACCACGTCTCTATTTTTGGTCATTGTAGAAAATTGAAGTTGAATTATGATTTGAAATTTTCTTTAAAATTGTTTAGACTTTAGACGATGGGGCATGATGAGAGACTGCATCACGATTTGTGTGAAATCATGAATGTGTTGAAAGCCACACAAGAGCAGTTGGTGGTGTGCCAAAAACAAGTCAATGATTATCAGAAGTCCATTCGTGATACATTGGAGCAATTGTCAGTTCGATTGAAAGATATGACTGGGATGATGCATGATGGTTTTGAGAGGGTAGAAGGTGCTATCAAAGAAATAAGTGCAGAACGAATGGAGAATGGAGGAAGAGATGGTACAAGAAAGAAATTTGACTTTTATAAAGAGGAGGAAGACCATGATGACTTTGCAAATTGCTACCAGAGCATAGACGATTTATTGAAAGAGCACAAGTTAAAGGTAGACAAGTATATTCATATGTGAGTGAAGATATTAGTATAACTATCATTAGTGCTAATTTGTTTTGTTTATATGTTTGACAGAGTGAAACAACGTTTGGCAGCAAGGGTTCCTCTCTTAAGTACAAGAGACCTCGATATGAAAGTGACTCCTACACCACTCCACAAAAGGATCATTTTGTAAGAAAAGGATTATCTAGTGTTGATAGCGACAAGATGAATCTAAGAGTCCTTTCGAAAAGCACGGAGTAAGTTTACGTTACATATTCATATATAATGTGTGTTTGTGTTCATATGTTACTTTAATTTTAACTATGATTTGTAGGTCATGAAAGTGGAGGGCCTAGAAGGATTTACAAAAAATCTGCAAAATCTAGTTGAAGACTTGTATTATGTTGTTATTAAAGAGATGGCTGGAGACGCAAATTGGGACAAGTAAGAGACCTTTTTTTAAAGTAGTACATGTGGTCGACCATTTAGCCAATAAGGTCGACCTTGACTGTGAATAGGTCGACCTGTACGTTGCAAATCACAATTGACATTTCTGTTATTTTGATTTTTGCAGTTTGACCGTTGTTGACTTTTTTTTCTGAAAATGTGCAACAAAATTATTTGAGTTCGGTCATTAGCGAGAGTAGCTGGATTTGCTCATCCGTAAGTACTATACTGCTACGACTTTCGTATGAATTGTGCACTATTTATGTTACAATTTATGAGGATTTTGTGGTTGATTGTTGGTTGGCAGGTAGTGGATTTGTGTGCAAGGGCACTAACATTGTCTGAAAAACATGATGTGAAAGAGCCAAATGTGTGGTATTTTCCAAATATGTTTTCGGTAAGAGCCATAATGTTTATTTATTTGTCACAACCTAGTTATTAACATTGTACCAAGTCAATTCATCTCAATTGAAATATGGTGCAGAAAATGATACGCGCTAACATGAAGACCGAACACATTCGTAACAAGTTGATGGATGGCGGCGTGGTGTTTGTGCCTAATGTTAGTGCATGCCAGAAGGTTAGTCAATGTCCATATGTCATTAAATTTCCAAAGTGCAATTGTTTGTACATCACATTTATTTAGTTCATAAACCGTAAATAGCTCATATCATATTAGTTCATAGTAATTCATGCCTAAGTAATCTATGATACATATTTTCTTGTTTCAATTATAAATGAGACATGTCTGCGCACATACTCAAAGTCTCAAACATAATATATGAGGGGTGATATATAATTTAACAAATCTATAAATTCTCAACAAACCAATTTGTAAGATATAAATCGATCCATTCATAAATCTACAGTCGAATTGACTAGCTAACCACAATGCTAAAATATCTCATGAGCTCAACAAAATTTAGTTCACACTCAACATGTTAATAAACAGTACTAAAGCTCGCACTAGCTCTCCCAACTCCTTTATATAATGGAGAACGATCATTCGAGGATGGATTTGTACAAAGAGCTTGACGCTCACACACCTCACTACATATTCCTTTTACAAAACTTTTGTGAAAACAAAAAAGGCTTGGTGAATATTTTGCCACGAAAAGATCAAACCACGAAGGGAACTCTCATGTGTTGCTTTCAGTGCGTACAGAAAACTTTGTGCACATTATAAAGTGGGAAAGAACAGAGATGGAAAGAGCATATTTTGGTAGATCGATGATATGCTTCTCTTACTGCAACCGCAAAATTATGCCTTCTTGGTTGCTAGCATGTTTTTCCTTTAGCCTTAAGGTCGTCACTTCAGGGTGAAACTTTCTCTGTCCCATTACAAAAAGATGAATTTGTAAAATTGCTTCTCTTCATTATTGTACGAGTTCTTTTTGGGTGACAATGCCAACACGGCAAAACCTACCAATTGCCATGTACAAGTGTCTAGTAAGCTGTAGTTCATCAATTCAACTCAATTGCCATGTACAAGTTCTTTAGTATTTGGAGACCATCTCTGTTCACGAACTAATTTAGAGTTAAGAGATTAGATTGACCAGGAAGGCAGGAACTCATGCCTTTGATAATAGTTGATGTCCAATAATTCAATTTAATGTTGCCCTAGATGTCGAAGGAAGACAGCCGGAGTCTCCCTGTATTGAGAAGGGAACAATTGCATGAGAGGATTATACCAGTCAGCTGGTGGCATGGGTTCAGGCTTAGATGATAGGGAGATAGATGTAAATCAGCAAAGGATCCATAATCTTCCTTACCACATAAGTAACTCACATAGGGAGTGTAGCCAAGATTTTGTTGAGGGTGAGACCATTTAGAAAAAATATCTACGATAATTAACAAATGGGGTTACAAAGATTCGAACAAATAAGATATCGGTCAACCATTCTCAATTAGAAGTGCCCTAAATTTCATTCTCAATTAACTTTACACTAATTAACTCATTTTCGTCCTTATAGAAACCGCCGGTTACACTCTCTCTACCCCTGATCGAAATAAATTATTTTTTACAAATTAGCTATGATTTGGGGGAAATTTATTGTACATATTGAATAAATACATCTTTAATTTTAGGCGGATCATATGCACCATTATCATTTGTACATAGCTCGTTATAAAAACATTGAATATGTAAATGCACAACTTATAAAGCATACATCAAATATTTGAAAGGTCAACCATCTTCATTTAAATACGTGTTATTTTTCATACTCGATTAACTATTATACTTAATTGACCATTTTTCATCCCGAGTCAGGGTGGGTCCCTTTAACCCTCAGCCTCCGCCCCTGAACTCACACAAATCAAAAGTCACAATTACAACCTCACAACCTATCGAATTTCCACATCTACCTTGAGTATCAGAGGCCGTTCTACCAACGCCTAGTCCGTACCTTGCATTGTTTGTAGGAATTGAAATCTACCCAACTTGATGTGCTTGATCTAGGCCCTTTAATAATTGTCAATATCTAGTTGATGCCAATAACTCAATTTTTTTTTGGGAGAGATTCACTAATGGATCTTATACAATATACTAACACACATTCTCAAATGAAAGTAACTCATATAAGCTTAAAAGTTTGCAAAGGTCTTGAATATTGTGTGCTTAACAAATGAGGTCGTTGAGATTTGGATAGAAGACATGTCCGATCACAAAATGTCTAATACTATATCTAGAACCAATTGATTCCAACGATTCAAATCGATGATAAAAGTTGAGTAATAAATCTTTAATATACGGTAACAATTTCAAATGTACACGGTTGCTTTATGAAAAAGAGGGAAATCCAAATTTAACTCGGACATATATGGGCCGGGTTGGGCTGTGCACAATGATTCTTCCTGCTTTCATTTTCTTGTCCCATCTCCATCACAAAGTTTACCTTTCCGCAACTTTATTTTGGGCCACCAAATATTTGCTCATAGATTTTACTTACCCATTAATTTATCGTTGAAAATATTGGTTGGGAATATGTAGTGGTAGACCAATAATTTTTCACGATATATATAGATTAGATTTGTGAGTGGTGGGGGCACGAATGTGTGTGCCTGCCCACTTTTGGGCCTATGAGAGGGCATCGGAAGAACATGATATTGCAGTCTGAAAATGACCCTCCATCCCCAAAGTCTCTAGTTTATATTAAGGGTTGTTCAACGGTTTGGTTCGTATTGGAGGGCACCAAATTATACTGGCATTTGAAATGAACTATACTGAATATATTGTATTTGGGTTTTTTGTCTGGTAAATTTTTATAATACATAAAAAAACTAGACGATTTGACATTAGAATCAAATTAAACCACGTTGAATGCAATGGTGCTCTGATCTTCAATCCTTCGTTGACTATCGAACTGAGATTCTCATAATTTATTCCGTACCGGATCAGACATGACAGTGGCTTATCCATATTTTTATTATGGGCATCCATCCAAAAACAAATTCTCCACTCCTCCAACCAATCTACATATGATCTGTCGTTGTAGTTATTATTTCCCACACAAATATTTATGATGTCATGGCCATATCAGGACTTGCATAAAATATATCTGGGAGATGCTCTAGTCTTTTCCATTACTTACCTCCCTAGTAAGTCATATGTAATGAATGTCAACTCCAACGAATGTATACAATTCATCCAATGTTGGACACTTGGTGTGGGCACTAATGACACCTACAAAAATTTCGATTGGAATGGAAGTAGTCAAGCTTGTAGACTATGATCGTGGTTTCATTAACATACTCTATAAACTCAACAACCACTAACTAACACGAACAAGACTCAAATGATACAAAACAAAACATTAATGACTGAAGCAAATAAATCAACACGACACAACAAGATTTGAAATTCAAACAGCTTCCTGCACGTCGCTACCTTCTTCTCTAGCTCCAATCCGAGTTCAATTCTCTTGACTTTAACAGTTTGTACATATCTACTGTAAGTTGGGCTTAAATCAATATTGTTGTTGGGAAGATACGAACAACGACAATCTGATAACTCTAATCACAATATTTGAAAACTCATGATTTCTATACTTCGACTTGTTATAAAACATTAAAATAAATCATATTTTTCATTAATCGAGTGGTATATTTTACGGATAGATAAATACTACATAGGAAGAATGGGATGTTTGTGGTGGTGGGAGGAAGTCCCCACTTCCTGCTTGGGTCCGTCCTGCCGCTTCTCATTTTTCAAACCCTTTGGCGATCAATTAAGAACTCAACCCTCCTTTCACTTTCCTTTCCTTTGCATCAACACTTGTACTTCTTCTTCTTCTTCTTCTTCTTCTTCTTCTTCTTCTTCTTCTTTGTGTTATCCAGTTATCCTAAATCAATTAGCAACTTGCCGTTCGGGCAACGTGTGCCAACAGGGCTGTAAATGAGCTTTGAGACCCATTTTTCAACAAAGAGATTTGTGCTGCAGCGAGATATACATGGATGACCACAACATATTTTTCGCGGTCTAAATTCTTCGATTTGGAATTGACCAGAACGGGCCATCTTTCCAATGAGATCGAATGATACAAGAATTCATCAACAATATTGTGAAGAGGTCGCTGGTAATTGTGGGCAGTTTATAAGAGAGTTTGATATATTTCCTTGGATTTAGCCCAACTTGTACTTCAAATTCCAAAGGGAACAATGAGTCAATGACAATCGAAATGATTATGTGGGAGAACTAGAAAAGAAGAGAGAAATGTGGTAACGTGTTAATTGGGTCATTAATCTTTATGATCTAACACTCGACCCAACAATCAATAATTTTGTTTCGATTATTTGAAATTGTGAATAGTTTTATCTTTCTCAAAATATGCATACCTCTTAAAAAACAATCCTTCCCTTTCTGGTTTGAAGAGCTCTCCCTTTTCTCTCTAAATTTTCAGGGGTTGCCGTGGACACCTGTGGATAATAGATGGTTGCCAACCTCCTCTTTCACCTCTCCTCTCTTTCATATCATGAATAGTGATGGCAAATGTGTTGGGCGTGCCGAGTATCTCGGTACTCAAATCCGTCCTGCACCAAGCATGAGTCAGGTTGGTAAACACTTTATGAATGAAAAGAGGAGCTTGTACTAGGGCAAGTCCGCAACATTCTCATTTTTTTTTCCAAGTAATAGTAATTTCTTTCCAATAAAATGGAGAAAATGCTATATGAATGAAAAACAGTAATAATAGAATAAATAATTGAGTCTAACTAGCCGAAAGATGAAATCGTGCACCAATTTAAAGTTTTAGAAAAGTTAAAATATGATTGAAGAAAATACAAAATAAGAGAAATACAAATAAATATTGAGCAAATTGAGTTAAAATAAATCAAAAGCGAAACATAATCGTTCGAAAGTAATACTCATTACTCACCTCAATATAAATCAGGCTGGATAATACCCGATAAAACGAGTTGAAATTGCAATTCTAATGATCACTGTCCAAGGTTGTGAAGCTAAAAAAAGATGGATAAAAAGTTTGACAAAACAACAAAAAAAAGCTACAATAGAAAGCCAAAAAGATATGTTCACTTCAGCTGCAGGAGAATACTTAGCACAGTAATAGCACTCCCCCAACCCTATTGGTCATTGGACATTTGGACTGTCGCCCACCACCCAAAAGCAAGTCAGTGGCCGCGACACCACCATCTCTCTATCTCCCTACACTCTCCAAACATCTTCTCATCTATACCAAATCTCCGCCACCACCACCGTCGCCCGCCGCCGCCGTCTTCTCCATTATTCTTTTCTACTTTAAAAATTATAATATTCCGGGGAGGAGGAAACTCCAAAAGGACAAAAACCTTCCCTCCCGCCGCCGCCCCCCCAAAGAAAATCTCAAGCTCTTGTCTTTCTCTCTTATCTTCTCTTCCCATTTCTTTATTAATCAAACCCATTATTATCCATTAATTAATCTAACACAATTTCCAATTTCCCCACCTGCTAAAATAGCGAGCTGCTGCAGGGTTTTTCCTCGCCCTCCCCACCGCCGGCGGCGATGCCTACGCCGGTGAGTACAGCCAGGCAATGCTTGACCCCGGAAGCCGCCCACGCGCTGGACGAGGCGGTGCGGGTGGCCAAGAAGAGGCGGCACAGCCAAACGACGTCGCTTCACGCCGTCTCCTCCCTCCTGTCCCATCCTTCCTCCGTCCTCCGCGATGCGTGCTCGCGCGCCAGGAACTCTGCTTACTCCCCTCGCCTCCAATTCAAGGCCCTCGACCTTTGCCTGGGTGTTTCCCTCGACCGTCTCCCCTCTTCCGCCGGCGCCGCAGGCGATGGAGACGACGCATCCCCGCCGGTGTCGAATTCGCTCATGGCGGCGATCAAGCGGTCTCAGGCGAATCAGAGGCGGCAGCCGGAGAATTTCCATTTGTATCACCACCACCAGCTTTCCGCTCAGCAGATCAATAATCAATCGTCTCCGATTTCGTGCGTGAAGGTGGATCTCAGGAACCTGATTATGGCTATTCTCGACGACCCGGTGGTGAGTCGGGTATTCTCAGATGCTGGGTTCCGGAGCTCCGACATCAAGCTGGCCGTATTCCGCCCCCTCGCCGTCCTCCCTCATCTCCACCTCAGACCTCCGCCGGCGTATTCGGATCCGGGTCCGGGTCGGAGGGGTTTCAGCTTCCCGTTCACCGGTTTCTCCGGGTTCTTCAGCGGCGGCGGGAGCGAGAACTTCCGGAGGATCGGGGAGGTTTTGGGGAAAAGCAAGGGGAGGAATCCTCTGCTTCTCGGCGTATGCGCTTGCGATACGCTCGCCAGCTTCATCGAATTACTGGAGAAGAGGACTGGAGATAAGAGAGACGATAGCAGCGGCGACGGCGGCGTCTTGCCCCCTGAATTGTCCGGGTTAGCCGTGATTCGGTTGGAGTCCGAGATTTCCCAATTTCTCAATCGAAATTCCGATAAGGAAGCCGTCGATTCGAGGTTCGAGGAAGTGGGTCGGTCGCTGGACCGAAATTCCGGACCCGGGTTGGTTCTCAATTTTGGAGATCTGAAGCTGTTTGTGAAGGTCGACGAAGAAGATGAAGAAGAAGCTGATGGAAGAGTGAGTTATGTCGTTGAGAAATTGACGAGCAGCTTGTTGCGGGATAATAGTAAGCTGTGGTTGATTGGGGCGGCGGCGAGCTACGAGACGTATTCCAAGTTCATGGCAAGGTTCCCTTCGGTTGCAAAGGACTGGGATATGCAGCTTTTGCCCATAACTACATCTTCTTCCATGGCTGCTGAATCCTCCTACCCTAAGTCCAGGTGAAAACACTGATATGATATGCTTAAACTTCATTATGTGCTTGGCAACAATTAGGAACTATTATGAGAGAACTGGGAGATAGATAACTGCTTAGTTAACGACAATTTATATGCTCCATACCTGAACTTTGCACTGGTTAGTTAACTTCAGGTGAATTCTACTTTTCTAGTAGAGGCCAATTAAGTTAACTGAAAAGTTCCAAGTTTGCTGACAAACTGCAGGGACTGGGCTAACCTTTTTCCCACCTTAATATTAGCTTTAATGCTCAAAATCATAGTTTTTTTTTTTAAACTCTCGGCCGCGTGCTTTTTACCAGAAGTTCACTGGTTGGGGAGTTGTGAACTCAGGTGAGCTCATCCAGTGATCTCTTTCTTCCTGCAATTTGTTCCTTTCTTTGTTTCTTGAGGAACTTCCGAGTAGTAGCTATCTTCTGTGTAGTGGTAAAGGTGTAGGCTTTATTGATGCGCTTTCTGTTAGGTATTCATCCTGCGTTTGTACTCGCTGGTCACATAAACCTGACAGCATTTTGGTCCCTCTGCAGTTTAATGGAGTCATTCATTCCATTTGGTGGCTTCTTTTCAACGCCAGCAGATTTCAAGGTTCCCTTAGGCAGCAGCCCTTACCCCTATATGACAACGCTCTCTCATCCCTGCAATGGGCAAGAAGTTGCTGCTGTTTCAAAAGGAGTCTCATCAGTTCCCTCGGCGCCAGATCAGCATGAATCTGGCCAACATTCATTGTTGCGGACTGCTGAAAGTGGCACAGAGAAGGAGGGAATGATTATGAAGGTGAATATTGGTTTCAAGATTTTGATCCTGTTCTTAAAGAATGTGCATTTTTTTCGTAATACAAGATTTCTTGGGTTATGGGATCCTGACATTTAGATATGGGATTATGAATTTTGTCAAAATCTGTTCAACCACAACCTAGAAATGTAGAAAACCATGTCTGCAACATTTGATATTATACATTCTAGTAATAATTATCGTAACTATACCAAACCTAAATTTGAAGGCCATCCCTATTGGTGGGCTCACCTGATCAGTATTATATCGATGCATTTGCAATTTCAGTAGTATCAACTACTTTCATAGAAGTATTTTTTCAGGAATCGTAAACGAGTTTGTGTATCTCCAGTGCAGACCAGAGATGATAGAGATGTATTGAGATGCCGAGCTGTCAGTCTGCAGGAAAAGCATGATAGTATGTGCCATAGCCTTCATCAACAGCAGTCACCTCCTGGTTCTGAAATTCATCCACCTCAAATTCCCACCACTATGGGCTTTCAATTGGCTGAAGACACTCAAAGGGAAGTTTCTGAAAATGATTACAGCTGCTGCACAATGGCATATTCACGGCCAATCGCGGATACGTACTCGAAACCTAGCTTATCATCTGCTGCTATTGATTCACATCAGATAGTGAGAAGTGAATCAGCTGGTTGGTTTCTCCCTCTCATTCCTGCTAATGCTACCAATCATAAGCCTTTGAATGAAGATTCAGGTGGTGCTCTCAGATCTTCTCCACATAGTTTATTGTCCAATTCAAGCACGTGTTATGGCAGTCAGGCATCTCCTGCTCCTGTGATAACTGATCTTGGACTTTGTATAAGTTCTCCTGCAGCCAATGGTGAGCCCGTTAATCTCAAGGATCTTTGTCGGGTTATCTCAGAAAGAGTCGGCTGGCAAGATGATGATGCAATATTCTCCATCTGCCAAACCATATCCGAGTTCAGGGCTAGAGATGGGAAACCTGATGGAGGTAGACTGAGGGGCAAGAACATATGGTTCAGTTTCCTAGGACCTAACTGGCATCGTAAGAGGAAAGTTGCAACTGCGCTTGCCGAGATGGTTTATGGGAGCAAGGAAAACTTTATGTATGCAAACTTGAACCCTCAAGATGGGATCAATGATTCGATGTTCAGGGGGAAAACTGTGGTTGATTATGTTGCTGGGGAGCTCTGCAAGAGGCCCATATCTGTTGTGTTACTTGATAATGTCGACAAAGCTGATGTTCAGGTCCAGAGCAGCTTGTCTCGTGCAATTCAAAAAGGGAGGTTCCCGGATTCGCATGGGAGAGAAGTTCCCATCAGTAATGCAATCATCATTACAACTTCAACCGTAAATGATTATAGCATTAACAAAGATTTGAGTAGATATTGTGAGGAGAAGGTGATGAAAGCTAAGGGCTGGCCGATGCTGATATCGATTGAGAAAAAACAACTTGGAAGGGAGCTGAGTCTGTCAGTGATTAGCGATGGCAGATCAAGCTCATCGGGACTCCTGAATAAAAGGAAACGTGCAAACGACAATGCATCAACCAGGAAAGGTCTGGACTTGAACCTTCTTCCAGCCCAAGAAAATGATGACTTGTTGGGCAAGGAAGGCGAGAACCTGGACAGTGATGATTTTGTGTGTGATGATCATTCCTCTAGGGCATGGTTACAGGGATTCTTTGGTCAGGTCGATAGAGTAGTGATGTTCAAGCCTTTCGACTTTGATGCACTCGCCACCCGAATCTCAAAAGAATTGAACAAGTGCTTCCACAACTTCTTTGGGCCCGAATGTGATCTGGATATCGATCGAAGGGTCATGGAGCAGCTGCTTGCTGCAGAGTACTTATCAGATAAGAAGAGGACTGTGGATGAGTGGGTAGAGCAGGTACTGGGCCAGGAATTCGAGGCAGTCCGGAGAAAGCACGGTGAACTGGGCAGTGACTATATCGTGAAACTAGTTGTTCTTGAAGAAAGGTCTGATTTGGAAGAGCTCAATCCAAGAGGTTGCCTTCCTCCACAAGTTATTATCAACTGATGCCCCCAGCCCCCGGGTCTGTGGATGAGGCTGTATTCTTGTTCGTAGCTATAATAGATGTATGTATAAACCGTAGGGCTTGTATAATCTTGTAATCTTAAGATCTAATATAGCTGTTGGTCTAAAAGTTTTTGAGCTTTAGTCAGGTATGCAACGCACAATCAGGCAGGTACTATGTCTTTTTTATCCTTTTTGAGCTCTTGGAAAAACGGTCTGTTCATATTTTCCTTTTCCAGGAGACCTAGTATTCAATATTTTTTCTGGGTATCTGAATTTTTGGCAAGGATAAAGCCTGTGTCTTTTTCCAGGAAGAAATGAATACCTATTATTAGTACAGTGCATGTCTGTTTGCAGTTTGTTTGTTCCTCTGAATCAGCTCCTGGGAGTTAGCAGAGTGTCTGTAATCCGCATATCGCTTCAGAATAGTTTACTTTGGTTGTACAAGGATAGCCGTTTTACCTCTGTTTTGATGTCCCATTAGTTGGGAAAAATCAAGAGGAAGTCTGCTCAATGAGTTTCGGCTTGCTGATCCACTGCTGATCGACTACATTGTCAGCAAATGGATTGACCAAGAAAAGATCAACTAGTGTTGCCTTTTTTTTTTTTTTTTTTTTTACTTTCTCGACGGCCAGGATTACGCTTCAAGTCTCGTTCCTCATAGTTAGCTCTTGCAAAAATAATACTATTATCCACGAAATATATGCACGACAACAGCTCCTTTAGGGCACAAGGACACAACACCGGACTCGTGTATCCTCTCTCCTTTGTTGGCAATAGTCTGGTGCAATAGGACTTTGGCACGCACGAGAGGAATGTAACTAAGAAGAGTTCGAATCGCTGCTTTTGCTGTACTGATGTCTGTTCACTAAGCCCGAGAAAGATGTTGATTATCCACAACCAATCACCAGCTTCACTCATTTGTAGTGAGTTGCCAAGGAGCGGTTAGCGTGACTACCCTCTTAAGGGTGTTTGATTTTTGACACCCCTCTTAGATACCATCCATCTAATACAATGGTAATGATTAATCACCTGTTTTATTAGACATTAATTACATAATTAATTTCTCTCACCACATTGGAAAAGGGAAAGAATCTGGGAAAAAAACAGTTCCTACCCCCAATTTGAAACCCTTTTCTTCTCCCCCTTTTTTCTCTCCCTTTCGTTTCCTCCTCTCTCCCTCGATTCCCTCTTCCCCTGCTCGCCGTCGTCGCCTCTTCACCGTCACAGTCCACATCTCCCTCCGGCTCCGTCCCACATCCTCCGTCGTGGGCTATGTCTTAGATGGTGATTGCCGTTGTTCTCCGAGCAACACCAAACTTGTCGTAACTCTCCATCTCCTTCCACAAGTTTGGCACTGTGAAGGGATTGACGGAGAAGACGATGACCCTCCTCACCTTCCCGGCAAAGATGATGACCCGTCTCCCCTTCCTATACTGGCCATCCTCCCCTTCCCGGCGACGACGACGACGAAGAATCTGAGGTAGCTCTCTCTCCCACTATCTCTCTCCATACCCAGATCTGGGTTTTTGGTGTGGAATTGTTATTGATACCAGTGAATTGGTAGTTTATGATTGTACTCATATGTGAGTACTGGTATTGGTACCAGTGTACTCGTAGTTTATCATTATCCTGGATTTTTCTAGATTTGTGATTTTTTAACTATTCCTTATCAGTCTAGTTTTTCTCTCTCATACCCACTAAGATCTGGGTTTTTTTTCTTGTGGTAATGTTACCACTGCAATGATAATTGTAGTGTTTGAGTTTTTGTTGAATGTTATCAATGTTAAACTTTTTATTCAAGTGGTATTTGTACCAGTGAAGTGATGTGTCTTACCAGTCTAGTGGTATTTCTACCAGTGAAGTGATATGCCTTACCAATGCAGTAATACTTCTTGCAGGTGCTCGGAGGGAGTCAGCAGGTGCAAAAATGTACTGCTAATTCTACCACTGTAAGTGATAGTTGTCTTACTTATTGATTCGTATTTCTATCACTGCATTGATAGTGCTAATTATTGTCTACAGAAACTGGCCAGGATGAAGAGACAGTATCCTTGAGTGCCTAGAGGGAAGAGGCATGGAAGCTATGTTTTTTTGTAATGAAGAAAATGGGTTAGGTCAGGATAATTTCTCGAGTGCGGGATACCAGCAAGAAGCGGTTTCGTGAAATCCAGGATAATGGACAACAAGTTAGGCGGAAGAGGAAACGTACTGATTATCTTAGCGGCAAGAAGTGTAGCCCCAACTCTATAATTCAAATTATGTTTTTCCATTGCATTACCCAAGTGACCCAGTCATCCTTCGACACTTGATTTGTCGTTATTTAGGCTTCGCATAAACAATATCTTAGTGACTTCATTTTTGTTTATTACATTGGTTGGATATTATTTTTTATTTCCATTTTCCTTTTTTGATAACACATTTTTCTCCGCAGTTAGTGGTGATACTAATGGAAAGTTGATTGTTTGTTTACATATCAGATTGGTTGTACATATATACTTTCGGTAGTAAACGTATCTGTTAAGTGGTTCTTGTATCAGTGCAATGATATGTGTGTCAGTTCACTAGTATATCTATCAGTTCAGTGATACATGTACCATTTCAATGGTACCACTCCAAAGTATATCTACTACAATGAGAATATTTAGGATGAGTTTCGATTTTGCTAATGATACAAGTACATTATATCTAACACTGCAAGTGCGTGGTCACATTTTGGTGTGAAAATTATGACTTAAATTGTTGCACGGTTACTTGTATGAGGTTACCACTTCAGTGGTACATGTATCAATTCATTGGTATATGTACTAGATCAGTGGTACATGTTTATGTACCAGATCAGTGGTACATGTTCACGGCAGTGTTGTCGTTTGCCAAACTGCTATAGGGTTGCACTTCACGACAGGGAACGACAAAAATCGACGTGCAGTTCAGAGGATAGAAAGGCTATACTTGATTTCCCTTGGTTTAGACTTCCCACAAACAATTTCATAGTGACTTCATGTTTATTTGTTGCATTGGCTGAATATTTTATTATTGTTGGCATTTTTCTTTTTTGATAACATATTCTACTCCACGATTAGTGGTGATACTAATGGGAAGTTGCTGGTTTGTTTACGTATCGAATTGATTGTGCATATATTTGTTCAGTGGTACGTGTATCTGTTGAGTGGTACATGTATCAGTTCACTGGTATATCAGTTTAGTGATACATGTATCATTTCAATGGTACCACTCCAAAGTCTATCTAACACTGAAATGAAAATATTTAGAATGAGTTTCGATTTTGTACAGGTGCAATATATCTAACACTACAAGTGGATGGTCACATTTTGGTGTGGAAAGTATGGCTTGAATAGTTGCACTAGTACTTGTACTAGATCAGTGATACATATACCATATCAGTGTTAGTTGTACTAGATCAGTGGTACATGCTCACGGGAGTGTCGCCGTCTCCCAGAGGTTGTAGGGTTGAACTTCATGACAGGGAGCGGTAAGAAATGACCCGTCGCCGTCCTTCATGTTCTTCTTCATCTCCGACGGGTTCTCCGCCGAAGAGAAACCCCCCAGGTGTTCTTCTTCATCCCCTATGTCTCGTCCTTTAGCGAAGAGCAACCCACCATGCGGGTCGAAGGCAATCCCACCGTCGGCGAGCAACTCGATGATTTTTGGCCGCCATCGATTTCTGCAGAGGAGAGGGACGGGTTGCTATTTTTTTGAGAGGGAATATGGGAGCTGAAAATGCACTTTCCCCCTCCAGCATTTTTCTCCTTCCCCATTCATAATTATTATCACAATTAAGGCTTTCCCAATTTACAATATTACAAAAAATAAAATAAAAAAGCAACTTTCCTTAATACAACTTACCAAATGATTAAATGGAAAAGTGACCAATCAAGAAGAGGGTGTCAAAAAACAGACCCTTTAGGGGGTTAGCACAGTATCCGACCCCGAGTTTCCAACTTAGCTTGGATTCAATGGTTGAAGAATCGTGCTTACAGTGTGAGCCTGCAAGTTCTAACCTTGACTGCCATCATCTGTACACGGAAACATATATGATGAACATACCTCAGCATTTTCGAAAGCCCAAAAATGAGCAGGAGAGGACGTTAGGGAAAAGCCCATATTTTTTATAGGCGAACAATCGAGATCCTAAGAGCCCAATAAGGTAAGCCTAATAAAAATTTCCCAACCGTACATAGAACTAACACAAATCTAACATCCCATCCAATCCAATCCAACAATCCGTATATGGGGATTCTCCTTTGGCACCTAACTCATTCACTTTTTCCTTGCTTGTGGGCATAGTAAGGAAGGGTCTCGTGGTCTTTTACTTTATTATTTTTTATATTCAGCGGATGGGCTTCTTGGATATTAACAGGCCTCAATGCTTTAAGTTCCTTACATCATTTGGGCATGGAAACGCCAATAAACAATGCCAAAAAAGCAAAAGCCCAAAAGAAGAAGAAGGAAAAAAAGCAAGCCAGCTTTCTGAAATCAATTAAACAATAAACAAAGCAAAAATGAAAGCTGCTTATATTTCCAGATTGACCGAGGAAAGAATTAAACAAAGCCAAAAAAAAAAATCAAAGCATATTGAGGTAATTATTACACGTATTGGGAATATGTATGTAATTATAGTTGACATTAATCACATGTTAGGTTAAGAATTATGCAGGTGCGTGGATGTTTATAGTTTAGTCCCGATACAAGTATCTATGCGATTATGAATCGGATCCCATCAACACATGTTTGGGGATGAATGGTGAATTAAGTTGTTTTGAATTGCCTGCTATGTGGCATTTAGCCCGCAGTTTAACACCAATCGACTGAAATAGAATCACAACAACACATGATTATGGATGGATGGTTAATAGAAGGATGAAAAAATCATTAAGTCTAAGGTTGTGCGTGAATCCATCCACCAATTACCACCAAAATATTTCAATAGTCTAATGAAATGAAAATCAAGCATGGAGAAGAGGTATATGTTAGTTGTGATCTAGTTAGATGCTAATTCATATTAAATTCAAACTTCTTATATAATATCATGATAATGTGTATTGCATCCACCACAAAATTTTAAAAAGTTAGAAATGAGTTGTGCGATGCTACAATTGAAACCTATTCACGAAAAAATAATAAAAAGAAAGATTATGACGAGTATTTTTCGTGGAAATTGTGCAATAACACAAACACTATAACAATTAGGTAACACTCCATCTCTAATCTTACAGTAATCTTAATTTAAAAATCGTCCATTTGAGAAGGTAGCATCCTCCATATTAAAAGGTAAAACAATGACAATATTGTCAAGCTAATTAATTGCCTTCGTCTTACATTTAAATTTGAAAATGATATTTTAAATTTGGAAGCGTTTTATATTTTTAGCCTTTAATCGAAGCACAAGAGATTCCAAAATGAAATATGTTATACTTTTTTACAGTGACTAGTATTGAAGTGTTATTTGATTATGTTTTTAGGAGTTGGTTTTCTAAAATGAGTTTGATACTTTACTTTCAATTGAAAATTTCGTTCAATCGGCTGGGATGTCAAAACTTTATAATTTAAGTTTCTTTTTATTTTTCAAAAATTGTTTGTATTTTTTATAGTACCAAATAAAAATATATTTTGCTTTGTATGATAGTTGTTGTTATTTGTTCTATTTATAAAATGCATCCGACCAATGTGCGGGCCCAAATCTAGTTATCCAGTTAAAACATATCCCACGAAAATTTTGCAACAAACCAATATATCCTTGAAAGGCCAACAAATTGAAGCAAAGATTCAACGAATATTGAGGCAAGATAAAAACATGCTAATATGACCAAATTGGATTCAGTTGTACAACCAGAACTCATTGCTTGCACCAATACCATTTTTACGAGTTCAGAGACTCAACATCTGTAGCTTTCCTCTACATGTCACACTACACCCAATATGTGAGATATGATCAACACAACCAAACTTCACTTAAGGCAGACGAGCAACCATGACTATGCATAATTCCGTTTTAGGACCTTGTAATTCTCAGTTCAGAGAGTCGCCCACAACCAATCTTTACTCCGTGCATAAAGGCAACCATGACTAAGCATGATTCACTTCTAAGACATTGTAATTCACTTTGTAAATCGCCACAACAAATATGTACTCAGGGCAGATTCATCACCCATCTCATAATATCAGTCAAAGTGTCCAACCTATAATGTAAAAGTGAAACTTCATTTGCCGCTCCAGGAGGATTATCAAAGTCAACGAACAAATAAAATAAGACTTATTTCTCAATGTGACTTGTGTCGAAGGACTGCACAAAAGGATATTTTCAGCAAAGCAAGCTAAGTGCGTGCATGCATAAAGCAAAATGAACTCTCTCAACATTCACTTATATTCAAGAGTCTTGTCTGTATCATGGAAACTGTTCAGCAGCAGGACAACTTAATCCGCAATAAGCGTTATTGTTATTTGGTCTAACTACAAAGAAGATAAGCAACATAACTGCAGAAGCTCATGATGAATGCACCAGCTGCCCCTCAGTCCATCAATGCTTAGAGAAAATCAAGAGGTTGAGGGACAATGATAATATATGGAAATTATTCATGATACCCAACCAAAATAGCTAGATCATGTAAACCCACCCACCCTCTTTTCCACGCGAATGTAGCTCAAGGTCGCAAATACTTTCACACACTTATTTTCATTTTCAGTCAAATAAGACTCCCCCCCCCCCCCCCCCCCCCCGCAATTAGGTTCCTTTACTTGTCTCAAATGCAACAAACCAACATGGTAATAAGGAAAAGAAGGGCAACCAGATATGATCCACATCTAGGACTTCTCCAGACCGACATGTCATAAGAATACCTTATAAGGAACCGAAAACAACATGGCAAGAGTTTTCAACCACTATGTTTACTAGCCCCACCATTCAAGCAGCTGAATTTCCACAAGCTAGGGCAACCGACTTAGAAGTAACCGTTCTTCATAGCCATATTAACCATAGAAGAAAGAACATGCCTCTTCACTTTTCACAATATGATGATGAGGATACACATATATTTGTCCAAAATTCACACATTATTAGGTTTTGATGACATTGTAGACTCTACATCAACTAGGAACTTTCTCCTTCCAAGGTCTAGAGAAAAACATTCTGGTGTTCAGTTTCAAACTCATTCTAAATTAGAGAACCAACCGAATAAATGCTTGAGCCAAATAGACAAACATAGCCTCTTGTACCAAGAACCAGGATATGTAATTGGTTAAATATAATCATAACATGTACAACATCATTAAAGGGGAGATGAATTCACAGTCACCCTATGATATTCTCGTTTAGCAAGTGGAAATATAAATAAGGACCAAGGGTACACGTGACAGGTGAAGATATGGAAGGAGAGGAATCAAGCAACCAAATAAAAATTAAGTACCTCATGCGAAAGCCATGAAAAATACAGAACCTTTTGCTTTAGTTTTCCACTTTTACCCTGTGTCACATCAACAACCATAGTAAGCTTTAGACATGTGGACTTGGCACCAAATTACAAAA